TACCTAAAGCCTTCTATTATTATTTGTAACAATTTTGTGTATTGTCGGCGCTACAGTGACTATCTTGTCCCATTGACGTCATTTGCGTGTACGCAGAGTTTTTCTAAACACGGCAAAAAGTAAAACCTCATCATCATGCGAGAGGGCGTAGGTGTGTAGTTGTTTTAAAGTAAATTCAGCAACGTTTAGTAAACGACCAAATGCTACCTACAGTTATAACTGAAATATTGGTGCAAAACAAGACACAATGATGTGTTAAGGTCGTTAACGCAACTTACGTTTGGTTGCGCAATTTTTTCTAACACGTTGCCGCAACGTTAAATTGCTGCTTGGGCAGTGTTTTGTGGCAAGCCCAAAAATCATTTTTTTTTGTGGTGACATGGAAGAACCCTACAATGGTGAGTTACCCAGGTTATTAGAGGGTTGGTGTTCAGTTGCTATCGTTTTTCTCAAGTGATTAAATGATTTGGAACAACCAATAGAGTTTTCAAAATCAATCCTTTTGAAGCGGGAATCCAATAAAGTCGATATTGATAAAGGATAATTGTGCTCTATTAGACCAAATCTTCTGTTTATTTCTTCAAGCAACTTGTTTTTCAATGTTGTAATAATGTCTATGTCTGATTTAATAATTCGTTAACTGTTTTTTTAAACAGTTCACCATTGGAATTATCTTGGACACTGTAATGTACAACTTTCCAGAAGCCTTCTTGGTAACAAATTCTACTGGCTTCAACACCAGTTTTATTTATTTTGCCAAATGCAGCTCTGTGGCTGATAGCATTTGTGGTGGAACAGTGACGTCATTTATAATTTTTTAAATTTTTGTTTTTTCAAAATATACATAAATGTTTGTGTCAATATTTTAAATTTGCAATTTATATTATATAAGCTGTATATTGCCTTCGAACTATGTCTTCCTCAAAATCCAGATCTTTAATGTTAGAACTCTGCTCACTTCGCGCGGACTAAGTAAATCTTGTGCTGTGGTAAAAGGATTTGAAAAAGCATTTATGGCATTATCTAGGTCTTCATCGGAAAAAGAAGGACCGCAACATGATTAAAGCAAGACAATAGTTTCTCGAATGAAGCACATAAAACAAGACTTGCTGCACTTACAATGCTATCCTCACTCTTTCGGTCCTGTTTGTGTTGTGATAGTTTATTACAAACCATTTTGATGAAGTGCAAACAACATAACTTCAATTTTATTAAGTTGAAAAATCTAACATCATCTTCATTTTTAACACACTTATAGGATAACTGTAACAGATTACTAGAACTAAAATTAACCACTAAGCTCTCCATCAGCAGCTCTTGGGTACCCCACAGACTGACGCGCAGCCAGGAAGCCCATCCGACAGGAACGCCCCGGAGGTCTCGGGTAGTCACACCCCACCATGGTGTTCGCCAAAACTTGAAAAGTAATACAACATCCAACAGGATCCTCGGCTTGAAGCTTCCAGGGACTACGCCCCTAACAAAAACCCTAGAAAAGATAACAAGTCCTCAGTACTCAGACAACCTCTTCTGGAAACCCAAACAACTAAGATTTTTCCATGGGCCTAAAACCCCTTGCTGCTATCACGAACCCACTATTGATAATCAAATCTTAGAAAAAACTATATATACGAATTTATTAATTTTAACCCCCAGATAAGAGAACTTGTATTAGCAGAACTGCTAGCAACCTAAGCCTTTTTTATGGAGGGAAAAAAAAACGCTACACATGAAACGAATGGAAAAATCTAGATAAAAAAACCTGGAAATAATCGACTATAATCACCTAATATTTAGGGTTAACACACCATGCTCTCTACCCCTTGGATGAGGAAATGGCACCTGTTCCATCCAGCAACCAGCAACTTCCAATTTTCCGGATAAAAACTAAGCCTAGCTCACACTGGTGACTACTACAATTTCTTTGAGCGTTACGCCACTTCTTTTATTGCCCGTGAGAAGGATGTTTCCCTTTCGGGAGAATCAATTCAAATTCAACAAACTTCTAAAGGCATAAGGCCATAAGACTCGATTCCACAAAGGTTCGAGAAAGAAAGGTGCCGAGAAATCCACTCAACCTATATTAACAATATACTTGAAACTCGTGAAGTACCAATAAAATGGCTGTTACTCAAATCTAACAACTATCAAATTCCAAATTCCAGACTACTCAAATGATGCAATTCTGAGTAAATAATACCGTTCCATCCAATTCCTTAATCCTTCTGGCGATATTCCCTGGACGATGCAGAGTCAACGGACATTTCAAGAATGACATCACGACGTGATGTCGCAAACCTTGGAAAGCAATCTAAACCCTGCCGTAGGCCTCCAGCTGGTGCGCAGAGAGCCGTGCCATCGAAACTGCCGCCATCCGTAGTCACGCGTCCGCAGTGGAAAATAGTTAAGAAATCTCGGATTGGTGGACCGTATCACACGGGTGCCCACATAGATGGCACCACCACAGAAAATTAAATCGAATAAAAAGCCTTTACGAATCTGGTACAAATGATAAGGAAATGCTGAATTTATTCGCTCACAAATGTTACATGCTTCCTGCACATAATTCACATGTAACAACACCCAACTATTTATTAACCCCCTTGGAACAGACAAATACTCCTGCAGAAACACTCTATAATGACCACGGACAAGAAGACCTGGAACTGTTTTTTGATTCACATAGTTTTCAATTTTAGTTTATTTATAATTCATCCGTCAATCCAGCAAACACTCCTAACTATTGATATACATAGATCAAGATCTAACTTCTAAAAAAATCAACAAGTGGGCAGAAATCGCAGTCAAGAACACTGACGTGGACCGCGAGGTAGAAGGAGGGGAAGCAGCATGACTGCATTATTCACATGTACAGGCTGGCCAGCAAACAGCTCCGTTCGGAGCATTTTTTACTGTTTAAATTAGTTTGGTTGAATTCGAAAATGACATTTAAAAATAAAATTGTGAATGAAATTTTCTGTTCGTGTCAATTAAAAAATTATTACTCCTATACAAAAATGATTTACCTAATTGATTCTTGTATTCACAAACATTTCAATAACCCTTTTCACGTGGCTTCGGTTTAACAAACTGCAACATACCGCTCAAATTCGAGTGGTAGGTATCCATCACGTCACTTTGTAACCGGGTTAGAAAACGGTATGTCATTTCTCTAACCATTTTGTAACCCGGTTAGTTAAACTGGAGCCACTTGAAAAGAACTATTGCCTTATATGGCACACCATCTAAAAAAGAACTATTCGGCAACACCGCTTGATCTAAAGGGGAGTTCACACCGTTTACACTGGCCGTGAATAATGAGAATGGTTCACGTTTTGAAACTTTGATTTATTCATTCAATATGACATATTACATTTAAATCTATGAGTTTTCGCTGATCAGAGCTCATGCCTCACAATAATCACAAGCATACTGCATGCGTTAAAATCTGCTTCGGCATTTTCAATGTCCCTACCAGTTGCATTTTTGTGAAGGCTGTGAATTTTTTTTAAAAATTTTCACGAAAAACGGTGCAATTTTTTTTTTGAAATTGCTATGGTATTGGTTTGAAAACATATGAAGCAATATATTTGCATTTTTAGAACATTTAGTTCAGTTGAAATAAAAGTTCGTCGAATAAAAATTCGTCCGAACCTGCCCCACTCTACCCTAGAGTGTCCTATTGAAAAACCTGGATTTCGGTCAATATCTGAAAGTTGGGGGCAACTAGAAAAAAACAGAACGTCACTGAATTCTGCTTGAAAAAGTGCTTCCAGAAAGTTTTAACAGAAGTCAATTATTTTCATAAACAAAAAAGTTATGAAGGTTTCACATTAGCTCTGTTTTGGTTCAAAATTTGGAACGGTTCTGGGATTGCACAGAACTGCTTGCGCACAAAAAATATTGGAGGACTGTTCTGATAGTAATTCTGAACCGATTCGGAACCAAAACAAGCCGCTTATTACAAAATTCCAAAACACTTCCTTCCTTCAGAGCAAGAACTGAGAGAACCATTCTAGAACAATTCCAGAATTGTTCTTATATAGTTCTAAATAAACCAAAACGCTGTCAACACAGTTCGATTACGATTCTGAAAAAACGAAAACGCATTTTATGACATACGCATGTGCAGAATGATTCCGAACTAGTTCTGAGTGGAACGAAAGCAAAGCTAATATTGCTCAAAATCGGTTCAAAATAACAAAATTGGATTTGCACCAATCAAGATTTCATAAAATTTGAGCCTCAGAGTGAGGGGGTTAATTTTTTTGTATCTCGCTCAGAAATTCATGTGTTTTTCTTCTAAACAAGATTCGATAGATTCAAAACCCAAATTTAATATGGCGGCATAGGTCAAACCTACTGTCATCAATGCTTCAGTTTTTATCAGTTATTCCATTTTTTGCCCTCTTAAAATCATTTTCCTTCCTGATAATGACGCTAACTGTTAAGGAATCCAATGTTATTTACCTTTCAACCTATTTTTATGAATAATTCTTATGGAGTGAATTTCAATGTTTAACCTAGGTCGCCATGATTGAATTGCAAAATGTATTTACGTATTTGGGAAAAAGAAAAGCATTTAGATATAATGTTGAATATAATAAGGAATAATATTAATAAATAAATATCAAACAGCAGTCAGTAAACAGAAAGTGAAGTTGGATGACGCTTTATTATAACAAATATTTAACTTTTGCCCAATTCGGGTGCTTGCCCAAAATTGCACCATGCGAACATTCGACAACACCGCAATTCACTATGTAATGACGTCATAATGAATTAGCTGTTTTCGCGCGCTTTTGTATTTTTTGAATTTAATTTGAAAATATATCAAAAACTAAATGTTTTGGATAAAAAAATGACAACATACTTTGATTTTTTTACCCACAGAATCAAAACAAAAAAAAAAAACAAAATATAATCCAAAAATGTGCAAGTATACCCTATACACCTAATGAATTTTAGTTTTCCCGCTAAATTTTCCTGGTAAAACTTACCTCAGCTGCTAGAAATTCCAAAACTGCCGACGTATAGACCGCAGCCTCAGTTTCGACTGTTACATGACGGGTATTGAGTTTTTTAAGATCTCTTAGGGCTTTACTCACAGGAAACTAAAAAAAAAAAAAAAAATTCGTAGCTGGTACAACTTTTAAAACCTGTTTTTACCAGTAATCCAGCACGGGCCGAACGCTTCGCTTTGGCTTTTCCGCCGTGTTTTCCTGCTTTATCACAAGCCTGAAAATATGCAAAAAAAATCACTATTCTCATATAGCTAACGCCAACTTCAAAATTGCTTTGTACGATTGCCAAATCAATTATCCACCAAATTCAAATCTTTTTTTAAATTGATTTCAAAACTCACCATAATTACGTGAAAATTACGCGAAACAACAGGAACAGTCAAGTCTTACAACGGCCCGCGAAAACAAAAATGAAATAATGGCAATGACGGTTGCTACTTGCTAATTGCTGCAAGCAGTGCAACCGCAAGCGAGATCCCGCCGCCAAACGGTACGATTTGTTTTTCGCTCGCGCAGTACGGTCACGTGTCCGAATCCTGACCAATTGTAACTTGGAAAAGCATGTGACCATCGACCATCTATCCATCTATCGACCAAATGATTGGTCAGAAATAGTGGCTTGCTTGGCGTGAAGAAAGCAGGTTAGTCAGCGCCTATTTCCAGCGCCGAAAATCAGCGCCTACAAGTCATTTCATTAGTACACAAAGAACGCCGGTTTTCGGCGGCCAGTTTGAAAGCAACTTCCATTCTACAAAGATGTCAAGTTCATCTTCAGATGAAGACTTTCTATTGACGGAAAATACATTTCTAAAGATGCAACGAACGAAACAAGGTGTACATCCAGTAAATCGTGAACGAAAATTTCATGGTGAATATCACCATTTATTCCAATCGTTGAAACAACACGAACAACGCTTTTTTCAGTATATGAGAATGACCATTGGGACATTCACCTACATCTTGGAAAAAATTAAAATGCGATTAACAAAAACGTGGTGTAATTGGCACAAGCAGCCAATCCTTCCAGAAGAAAGACTCGTGGTTACCATTAGGTAAGTAAACTGAATTTATTTTTTACAATAATTATTAAACATAAGCAAAAACATTATGTCTATTTAGCAAAAGTCAAACGTTAAAAAAATAGAAAAGTACTAAATTTAGTAAAGGCGAATGTTGGCAAAATTCTAAATACTTAGCAGGTCTTGTGGGACTCTGGTTGTGCCAATTATGTATTTTCTTGAGTTGTTGTGTTATAAAGTACATGTCCATATGTTGAAGGGGCTGAGGCAGAGTACAGTGAGGATGAGGACGAAGAATATGCGCTACCCTCGGCGATACCAGAATAAGGGGAAATCTGTGGAGTGGTTACATAAGGTCCATGGTACATAGGTCCATGTCCATATGCATATTCGTCTACCATTTGCTGGATCCGCCCCCGAAATGACAATATTTTGTTTGGTGGAATTTTACGAACGTGGGGCAGCAAACTTTTGAAAAAACTGTCATCTTCTTCCACTTCGCGTGATCTTCTATTTGCCTTTTCCTGCAAATATTGTACTTTTTGTCGCTCAATATTTAGCATTTCTTCATTGCAAGAACTACTATCCAGTTTTCTTTTTATAGCTGTCTTGTGCTTATTAATCGTTTCAGAAGAGTGCTTCTTGTTTTCAGCCTCAAGATGTTCAGTTTTACTGGAACTTGGTGCATGAATAGAGTTGTCATTTGCCAATGTATCTGAGTCTAACTCGGTGTCTTGAGTGGACACATCATAATCGGTGTCGGTATTATCTCTCTCTTCCATCTCGGTAGATTCTATTGTGGCGCAATTTCCACCAGAACCTCGCGCTTTCACTATATCTTTTAAAAATAGAAGAGATTGAAAATATGGCCATTTGACCGTGTAATTCGGTGCAGGATCCCCCGATCGGGTTTTTGGTATTTTCCCAAATTCTACGGAAAACTGGTCCCGTAAATACTTCCATTTTTTCCTTAGAACCGTTTCTGAAAAACAAAAACAACATACTCAATGATGATATCTAGGGACGTTGAGGAACAATAATAGGAACGTTTGAACAAAAGTGGTTTATCGTATTTGTTATTGTTGTAACCTACAACAATAGAAGAATTGTTTTCTTCTCGACTCTTGCCAATAAACCGTCTAAACATGTAATAATAATATTATTTGTTACAGGTATTTGGCTAGAGGCTGTTCATTCAAGACGCTTGCATTTTCGTTTCGAATGGGAGCCTCAACTGTAGGAAAGATCATTTCTGAAACTGTAGTAGCATTATGGGAAGAACTGCAACCCCAACATATGCCTATTCCAACAACAGAAACCTTCAAAAAAATAGCTAAAGATTTTTACAACACATGGAATTTCCCGCATGTTATCAGAGCGATAGATGGAAAACATGACCGCGTTATTTGTCCAAAAAAATCTGGGTCGATGTTTTTCAACTATAAAAATATTTTTCTGTAGTAATTCAAGGAGTAGTTGATGCTAATTACAAACTAATTGCCATAGACGTAGGTGGATATGGAAAGCAAAGTGACGGTGGCACATTCCAATCATCGGATTTTTATAAACTACTCACCACAAAACAAATAAAAATTCCAACTGCTTCTTCTCTACCTGGAACAACCGTTACACTTTTAGATTTTGTGATAAAACCATATGGAGGAACAAATTTATCTATTGAAGAAGAATGCTTCAATAGCAGACTCTCCAGGGCGCGAAAAACCGTTGAATGTAGGGGAGAGGGGGGCACCTTTCAACATGTTTATAGTTGGAGTAGCATGTTTTTGGAGTAAGAAGCAATAATTCTGTTAGTTGTATACAAAAGCATTGTTTCAAGTCTAATACATCATTTTCTACCGTTAATTATGGTTTAGTCTAGTATAATTTGATTTTTTGAAATTTTTAAATTTTTGTTACAATTGTTGAATGGTACCCCGCGTACGGGGCACATTTGAACTCAGGTGGGGGCACATATGAACAATACCGAAAGAACACGATTTTCAATAAAATTAGACTGTTTCAAATCAAAAGTTTATTTTCAAATGAATATTGTCCAATACATTAAAAAATGGAATAAATCAGGTTTGATATAACCTACTAACTATCGAAAATTGTACATCGATTGATTAAATTTGAAGGAAATGAGAGACTGTGTTCTATCAGTACCTTTAATGTTCGAAGGAGCTGATAATTTTTGAAGCACATCTTCAATTTCAACAGTTGAAATATCTTCAACGAGAGGAAAATAGAATTTGAGTCCCTTTCGCCTTAAAAATTTAACCTGTAATTCATCACCATTTTTCTCCATAATCTGTCCGACGAAGTGCACCACTGTTTTTTTTGTACAAAACTTTACAACAATGAAGTCGCCCACAGACAAATCCTCATTTTTCACTTCACTATCATCTTCATCCAAAGAACCAAATGATAATGGTCCATCGGAGTCATCATGAACAGAAAATGAATCGTCGGAGCTGGATGATTCAACTAAAACTTTCTTTGTCACCTTCATTTTTTTATTTTTGTCAATCATCTGTTGCTCTAATTCATTTTTTTCCGGTGTTTCCGTGAGGATTTTGGATCTTCCCCTTTTACGGCCACGGGAGTTTTCGGCTCTTGAAGGTGCTTTTGGAAACGGGCGTACGGATTCGACAGATAAATTCAACGATTTGTCAGATGGCAGTGATAAGTTGTGTGGAGCTTCAAGAAAGGTGCTGCATGTTGGAATTTCTTCGGGTGGTAGACATGCTGGAACTGACTCTTGGGGCGCTGTAGATGATACATTATTGGGCCTGTCTGTGACATATGCGGCATCAAAATCTTCATCGCTGAAAGCATTTCGGTCGAAAGGATATATTCCGGGTTTCCGAAACCCAGCAATTATGTTTTTCATGGTGAATGAGTTTTCGAATGCTTTCCCTGCAAGATAAGCAATATTGTGGATCGTAATAGTTTTGCCAGGATGGGAAAGCATCCAGTCATTTTGGGCCACTTTATACTTTGCCTTAAATGGCCCCGTCACCGATACATCTAATGGCTGCAGCCGGTGAGTGCAATGAGGCGGGAAGGTTACCATTATGATACCATTTTCCTTCGCATATATCACAGCTTCCAATGAACAATGGCTCTCATGGTTATCCATAAGAAGTAAGATGGGGTCTTGCATGGAACATCTTGTGTGGCTCACTAGATGCTCTAGAGTTTTCAAAAAGAGAGCTGCGGTCATCCACCCACTGCTTGGACTGTTCACCAGACCTAAGCTGCCTGGTGGAGCACCTACCATGAAGGTGTCATGAAATCTGACTCGAGGAAAAATGAAAACTGGCGGTATAGCAATCCCAGATGCACTAACGATTCTTACCATAGTGACAAGACTTCCCCGCTCAGCTGAAACAGCCTGCCCCACTTGCTTAACTCCTTTCGCTGCGATAACATTTGGCGCTTGCACAACTGTCGTCACGCCTGTTTCGTCTAAGTTGAATATCCTTTCTGGCTTGAAAGGATGTTTCCCAAGTGCGCGGGAGAGGTTTTCGTAGAAAGCCATTACATTCGTCTTGTTAAAACTAGTGCCTCTTGAAAGACTAGTATTTTCTGGTTTCCGTAGAGAAAGGTTTTGATGCCTTTTCATGAATCCTTTCACCCAGTCTATACCTGCTATTTTGTTCTCGTTCCACTTTTCTGGAAATTTCCTTTCAAGTCTCAAGGCATATTCGTAAGCCAGAGTTTGCAGGATTTTATAGGTTAGTCCGTAGTTCATACGAGAACATTTCAAAATATATAAAACCAAAAGTTCTTCTTGCTCGTTCGTAAAAACTTGTCTGAAGCTATATTAAGATGAGAAATGTTCGCGCCTCTCTGGTGGAGAATCAGGTCCTCCTATTTTTTTTAGGCGGTAGAAAAGTGATGTGTGCGTGACACCATAAACTTCAGCTGCCTTTCTCAGCGATAGTTCTTTTTTCTTAACAGCCTCCATAGCTCTTTGCATATCATCTTCGTTGAACTCTGGTTTAGATCTTTTCTTCACGTAAGTTCTCACCATTGTAGAAATCTAAAAAAAGCAATACATATCGTTATTAATACTTATTAGCAATTATACTCTACACTACTTGTAATGCATATCTCTTTCTGTACATTATCGCGCTAAAAAAGGTCAGCAGTTGAAATGGGGCACCTTTGAACTTTGTTCAGAGGTGCCCCTGCTTAATTGTTCAATGGTGCCCCAACTAGCAACAAAACAAATCACATAAAATTTTAAAAAATTAAGTGTGCCTACTTTTACATTACTAACAACATAAACAATCTTGGCAGTCCGACATGCAATGGAG